TCTATTGGTCATTAAGTTGTTTAAGTTTAGGTCAATTGGTTTTTAGGTCAATTTGCCAGTTCCCGTTTGTCAAACATAGGCGACAATAATGTTCAGACACTTTTATTTTTTTGCAAAGTATGTGGAAATGCAAAGACAAGACAAGGCTATTAGCATAGCATAGCTCTATGTCTACAACTCTATTGCAAAATATTTGCAGTCAATACCAAATTAAAAATATTAAATATATTTGGTTATAATTTGCGTATAATATTTAATATTATTGTTTGATACCATGCTTATTGGTTAAAAATTATGAGCTTTGTGTGTTATTAATTAGACGTATAATTGCAGATAATAACTCAATTATAAAGTCTTGTTTATTACGGTTAATGTATGAAATAGTTTAATAAGTTTTGTTAAATATTACTGTTATCTAAGTTCGTAATCATTTTAAGTATTCATCTTATAAATTGTTTAGACAAATAAATACTTGAAAAATTAAACAATTTGACAAAAGCAACTTGATAATGAAAAGAGCAGTTTTTGGTAGTGTTATAGGTATGTGATGTTATTTAAAAATTGTGAAAGGTTATTGAATTAATAGTTTATTTCTTTGTAGTTATTGGTATTCTACTAATTGCTGGATTAATTGCACTAGCATATTGGCATTTTGGTAATTTATATTACAATATAAGAAATTATTAATTACCATATTTTAAATTCAAAAATATAATTAACACTATATCTACAATTTATAACTAAAATACATATTAACTAAGGTAAGAACAACCCGTACGCACCGCTTGACGATTTTCTGCAAGGCAAATTACTAAAATCATCTCGCACCATTGATAAGACATACGATGACTTTAAAGTACTACAGTATAATCCTTTTTCACGTGTATATGCAGTTTATGTAAACTATCTTCATTTGAAAGGAATATTTGGACGATAAGCAGAATTTAGAGAATGCTTTCAATGAATTTAAGTACGAATTCAGCAAATCTTACGAATCTAGCGAAGAGGAGCGTCGGAGGGAACAGATATTCCGGGACAACATGTTGCGAGTGTACGGACACAACTTGAAAGCTCTGGACGGCACGTATTCGTATACATCACGTGTCAGTGTGGACGCGGATTTGACTCCTGAGGAGTTTAGGCAGAAACACACGCATTGCCAGTTCGGAATAAACCCACCCATAGATCACTCTAAGTCTGACTCGACTTCTGTTGACTCGCACACCGCCGATAAGAGCTGGTCAGTCGATTGGCGCGATCAAGGAGTAATTGGACCTGTGCAGGATCAAGTATACATATTTATAAATACATTGCCAAGTGTTGAAGGTGATAATTTGAATTAAATAGTATATGTTGATTATATGGTACACAACTGGATGACGATGTATACAGGCCACTTTTATAGATTTGGATATTTAGTTGAAATACTAATTGATTTTATCAAGATTTAATGTACAAAAGTATAATTTTATATATTTAGCAAGATTGTGGGTCGTGTGTGCCATTTGCAATGGCAGCAATGGTAGAAAGTTATTGGGCTCGTAGTGGCCACGGAGTCACCCCACTTAGCCCCCAGCAAATTCTCGACTGTTTCCCTAAAGCGTCCTGTAAAGGAGTGAATTCTACAGATTTTCGCTCACTTTTATCCTACATTCAGAAAAATGGTTTGACATCATGGGAAAACTATCCTTATACTGCCAAGGTAATCAATAGCACAGTAGTAATGATCTACTTCTTTAAAAATCTCTAATCATTAATACTAAAGTAATTTGTTCAGTTAAGAACAGTTGTAATAGTTACTAACTTGTCAAGTAGTTATTTATATGTAAAATAAAAGTCTCCTAAAATGACCCTTATTACATGATTCGTTTGCATACTTTGTCTCATGAAGTTCTCCGATATCGCAACAGATAGTTAAATAACTGGATTTGGATACTTAATTACTAGTCTATTCATCTAATAACCGCGTGTTGTCCAATAGAAAGGTACATGTGATCGGGAAAGGGAGTCTAAACGGGTGGCAACCATTGGAGAACCGAGAGAAGACGATCCTAGAAACGAAAGCACTCTCACGAGTTACGTGCGCGATAACGGTCCCGCTTTTGTGGTCGTACACATCGGCATTGACTGGTTTTTATACGCCCAGGGAGTGCACACCTATCAGTGCGGGAAATTTAATCACGCGGTACTTGTGGTCGGTTACGGATATGATAAAGAACTGGACAAACATTACTGGATCATTAAGAACTCTTGGGGCGACCAGTGGGGCGAAGGAGGTTACATACGGTTGCATCGTAACGCCGCCACCATGTGTCCATTGCATCCACTATCATTCCAACTGCCGGTAAGTATTTAATAAAACAAATTAGCGCCTAGGTCACTTTGTTAATACAGTTTTGTTCGCTAGTACAACACTGGTCAGTCTCCGGGTCCAACTTTGGCCGTATTGTTTGTGTCATTATTGCCATTCACTCTCTTTAAAGTTTATTAATCTGAAAACATGTTAAATGAACTGGCTGCAAATCATTTTCAGCTATTATAATTTGTTATAAAACTAATGTTACTATAATATACATTTAGAAATTAACTAGCTTATAAAGCATAAATTGTTTAAAATCTGGATCTAGATACAAATCATATGGATTTTTGTTCAAGTTCAACGTTTTATTTTCTTACAACAGATAAAAAATAGATTTAGTATTAATACTTCACTAATAATCTAGTAGATTAGAACATAAACTGAAATATGAGCAAGGATAGATTTTTAAACCAGAATCTGGGTTTTCTGTCTGTCAACTCTTTGTTCAGGGTTTTAATTAATCAATTAATTATTTTTGATTGTTGTCAATAAAAATGTTTTACAAGTATATTTTGCACTGTTCATTTTTGCTACGATAACAATCTATTGATTAGTGGAGTTCAATGCAATCGGCGATAAAAACTAACGGAAGTTTACTCAACGAAAGTCTTTTAACATTAGTTTCTATGGATTTGGTGTAAGAGTTAGGGTTAGACTCAATCGGACCGTAACCTTCAAGAGTTGATGACTTCTAACCTT